TTAAGAAGGCAGTTGACTACATTTACAAAATAAAGTCCTGAATAAGGTTTTATTGCCTACATGAATGAGTTAGAATAAAGTTAGCATTAACCTTTTTATACTGACACAGCATATAATACTGTAAATACTATACTTGTCCATGTTTCTTTCACATGATGGACAAGTAACAAAATTGTTTGGCTTGTAAGGTCTCCCCAAGCTATTTCAACTTGTCAAGTCACACAAAGCTTGGTTACAACAAATGCATCAACCCATTTGTATTAATTCAGTGGAACAAAAAGATTTCAGAAAGACACATTAATTTTATTCTTATTCAACAGTGACATTGAAAAGACATTCTTATTTGTGCAGTTGTATGAGCTACCAATCCTGCTCAAATTTATACATATTTTTTTAACAGTGTAGAGATTGTGTACTTGAGAATTTTGACATAGATTAAATTATTATCCCAAATATCGCTGCATTCTTGACAGAAAATGATAAAGTGACTTAGATTCTTGAAGGGAAGTAAATAGTTCCAGAAGCACTTGTTTAAACACATTTTTTATTCAGTAGTTAACACTTCAAGAGTGAAATTGTTGGAGGAGGTCGAGGGGAGGATGTGATCACCCGCTGACCTCCAAGTTGAACTGGGCATCTGGAGGTAATTTACCTTTTCTCCTGTCCTTGGGAGTAAATATTTTAAACTGTTTCCAAACCAAAGCCACTTGGAAGACGGAACTTTCAGAGGACAATGTGTTATTGAAACACTCTATTGTATCTATGATTGAAACCACCTTTGACCTTAAGGCATTTATGTATCATCTTAAGTTTCTGGCACGTGTTATGCAGAGCTAATTATCATGCAGCTACCTAAGAAAGCACCTACATAAGTTTTCTTCTTAAAGCTGCCACTTCCCATGTTGACCTGGTCTTTCTCTTTCTTTGGTCTCTTCTGACTCTGGATGCTGATAATGCATGCTTAGGCAGACTCCTAATTTTCCTGCAAACTCTCAAGGTTGCAAACCAACAGAAACGCCATGCTCATGATTCAGAAAACATGTGTTGTGATTTTGGAAGAAAGTTAATTTTACTGTAAGATTTTTTTATCATTATAATATTGCATGAAGTTAGAAATAATCACTAATACTTTTATTTGTGAAACGAAACTATTATTAAAATACTTATATGGACACCATAATTCAACCAGACAAATAGTCTTACCACTTTTTAATGTCTTGCAGTGTCTGGACTAAGTTCAATCAGCACAGAAAAGACAGGAAGTCAGAGGTTGCTTGGATTAAGTTACTATCCTCAATTAGCCACTGATTCTTAACACAGTGTTTAAAGAAAGAAACGACTTCCAGATAAAATAGACTTTATTTTCTCCCACAAAAGAAAGCAAGTCACTTAGCAGAGTGGAGCCCAGAACCCGTTTGCCTCTCAGCTGCTCCATTGCTGACTGTCAGCTTCCTGGAGCATTTGCACACACCAAAGCTGCAGGTGTTAACCCAGGTGCTAGTACTTTCTCAGCGCCCGGTCTTCACCCTCTACTAAGCCTGTTTAACGCGTGCTCCGAGAGCCATGGAGTCCTTGGGTTCCTTCAAAGCTTTGTGCAGTGAACGCTAGGGGGGAAAAAGAACAAACAAGATACATTGCGAATATGGGATTCAATTAGTTTTCACAACTCCATGATGTGTCAAAGGCACGCTGTGTTTTGTTTTGAGGGCGGGGAGATGACTGCGAGGGAATCCTGAGCCCCCATTGGCTCCCGGCTCCCCGCTGCAGTTGAGACTCAGCCGCTCGGCGAGCGTTATTGATCTGAAGGGTAAACGTGGAGCGAGCCGCGGACCGGGGTCCAAGCGTTTCTGAGAAGAGAGGCAGCCTCTTCCAGGAAGAAAGTGCTGCGTACCGGCTGCCCGGCGTGGAGAACCGTCTGTGAATGAAAGGGGCCAAGAGGCAAGGCAGTTTGTTGCTCCAGTGATTTGGAAAGAAAAAGAGCCAGAGGAGAGAGCTGGAGAAAGAGGTTCTCACCTTCGCTGCAAGGCTGGGTTGTTGCATCGCTGCCGTTTCTGCTGCTGCTTTTGCGACTGGCTGCCTTTTTCTGCCATCAGGTAAGGCTTCCTTTTTTGATGGGGATTGCATCGTGTGTGATCGCTGCAGGCTGCACGCACAGCAATCTATGGATTGCATGATTAATAAAGTGTTGCCTAGCTTAGTCAGGAGGCGAAGGAGGCTGCTCGCAGGTCTGGCACCTGAATTAGGAGCTGATGCGTGGTTTTGCTTTGGGAAACTTCGGGAAGTTCCAAACAAGTCTAGTCTTCAGAGCAAGAGGTTAAATTAAAACGAAAGGGGAAGAAACGTTTTAACCGCGAATGTGCCTTCTTTAGCTTGGCTAAATTTTCAAGGGAAAAATAATTAGGTACACTCGGGGTTCACTGGTTATTTGACAAATGACTTATGATACCTATTTTTTTTTTTTTTTTGCACAACATAATCAATGCTTTATTTGCCAACAGCTTCCATAAAACTCAGGCTTTAGTGATTTTTTTTTTAATGCAAAAAGACCCCTTGCCCTTCTCCACTGATTTTTTCAGACACGGGCATTTTCAAACTTTATTTCACATTCAAAAATGACAACCATAAAAAAACAATGTTAAGGTTTGAATAGCTGGCGTCTCAGTATTCAACCTCTGAGTTTCCTACCTTAGAACTAATTTGGGACAAGTGAAAGATACAGATCACTAGACCTGCTGTGGGTTATATAAGATGCATGTCAAAATTATCTTGAGGGTATTAATCACTTGGTGATACAGTTAAAATGTGAGAAAAATGCACTATATAGGACATAGTAACAGATCATATGTCAAAGACACCTTTAGCATTTTATAAATATGCTCATTATTTGTTTCTTCCTGCATCAAAATCACAGTAGCTTCAGAAGCTCTTTAGCTCAGAGTACTTAATGTCTCTTAGACATATTTCTCTGTACTCTAGAGGGAAAACTGACATAGTTTTCACTAATTCTGTGACCATTGTGTGATTCTCAATTTTTCATCAGGTATTTTGAAGCTCATTCACAAACTGCTCAGCTAGAAAATTACCTTGCATAGTGAGGGGAAAGAAATTAGAGTAGGTTCTGAAAATGTGTTTTCAGTTTGAAATTACACTATACATGACCAGTACAGAATGTCCATCCACACTAAGCAGGTGTTAGTTTCAGCACACCTGGTCAACTAGCTGTAAGATTTAGAAAAGTATTCACAGAGGTACACTGTCCAGAAATATTGAAACTCACCGTCCCTTAGCATCATTGATTAAATGATCCTTAGCAATTTGAGAATGATTTTCATGACTTCATTTTTATTTCTAAAAAGAAATATAATAATAGATTTCATGGTATATATTACCATGATATATATTACCATTGTAAATATTCAGCAGAAAGTAGCTTCAGAATTGAACGGCAAATAGTCACTCTTTCCAAGGAGGTGATTGACAAATTGTTTTGGAATGCTCAATATCATAGCCACACATAAACAGGAGCTACCACTTAACTAATGAACCAACCATCTCATCAAATGTGTTCAGTAGCAGGATCTAGAGACCTTTCCTGTGCTTGCTATAGAAGCTATTGGACTAAAATAAATAAATAAATAAATAAATAAAGTCAAATGCATTTGAAAATCCAAATGTAGAATAATTCTTGCTTTGAGGATTAATTTCAAGTTCAACCCTGACATTGCTAAACCCCTTTATATCAAACATATGTGTGTGTCTATCCCCGTTGTCTTTTCTGCAAATCTTGTTTCTGGATTCATAACTTCTACTGCTATATACCATTTTCAAGCAGTAGGGGGAAGTTTTCAACCCAATAATGTTTTTTTTCATACTAGACCTCATTCTCTCCACTGCTCTGCTTGGTGATTTGATTATTTTAGATAATTCTCACAAAAAGCTGACATAGGAAGAAGTCATTTGTCTGACATGTGGCTTGATACACATTATGTTCTATCACAGCAGAAAACATGCTAGTGTGTGGGGAGAATCCCATTGAGGCTTCATGTGTGACTGCATCCTTTAAGGATTGGAGCACAAAGCTGCTCCCTGTAGATTGAGCATCTTTTGCATCTGGTATTTTGGCAGAATGTTTATTGCTACCGTCTGTGATATTGGTTGAAATCAATCAATCTTTTATCATTTTGTGGTTGATAAGAATATATCTGACATTCCTCTCTCTTAAAATGCACTATTGTGGCACTCCTGGTGATGAAACAGAACTGCAAATAGTCTGTTTAAACTGTTCCTACATGAGATGTGAAATGTTACTGTGTTTTCACATATATATGCCATTTAGATGCCAGTTCATTACATTTATCTAGCAATTGTGCTAGAAGAAGGCAGCGAGAGAGGTTTTCCTAAGAAGTGAGCCAGGTTTTGATATAAAAATATCAAATCTAAGGACTTGTGTAATAAAATGACCTACTAGTAGGTAAATGTATTTCAGACTTTCAAAGGAAAAGTATAATCATAGATGTCTTCTTTAAGGTAAGGTACTTCCTGAATCTTTTAACAGATTATAGCTTCTTTGAAAGTAGTTGTGTCCTGTACTATCTTGTCAACACAATATACATCAATGAATAATATTGTTCTTATAGTGTGGTACCAACTACAGCCTGTTTACATATACTATAGGTGAAATTATATCACCTTTTGTTGTGACAATATTAAGTTTAATTGGAACTTAATCATTCTATAAGAAGTAAAAATTAATGAAATTTACTGGGGTCTTTTAATATACTACTACAGGACAGTTAAACAATATTCATTCTAATAGCTTTTAGAATCACTATAATTTTGGGGGCTTAAGGAGATTATACTTTTTTCTTTTTTCCTGAGTTACTAGGCCGAAAGGTATGTGTATGTGAATGTGAATATTGTTGCCTGTGTTGAATTTCAGTGTTTATTCAAAGTTATTTTTAAGCATCACATAATCAGATAACTAATAATAGGGAGTAATATTTTAATAAAAGACCACAGAGAAAGTCATTATCATCAAAAATTGAATACGGATATATTTCAAATAATGTTTTCTATTTTTTTGTCTTGTCCTGGATGAAGGTTCCAAGAATTCATTTATTCAGATCTTACTTATCACTGAATTAATAAGTACCTGTTAAGCTATTGAAAACAATTTTCATGTTTATCATCTTTAAAATTTAGCTTTCAAGTTTGTATCATTTTATCTGATAATAACTCATGGCATTAAAGATTAAATAAAATCTTCATAGCTATCTTTTAACTAATGCCTATGGTTCACCTTCCAACCTTTGCTCTGTGTATATTTAAGTCATCACTCTATTGATTGATTGAGATCGACTTGCATAAAACAGCTGTGTTATTTGAACAATATAAAATTCTTCTTAAAATATGTGAATCTCATGTGTATTTGTGTAAAGGTTTTAGAGAAGATTAGAGTTCAGTTGAAGCACAGATACTCCTTAGAGAAATCCAGCACTTACCTATCAACTCCTGAATCTACAAGTTCTAAATACTTAGTTCTAAGTTCCAAAGAAATAGTTAAATAGTAGTATCTTATTGTGAATATAACCTTAACCATATGATAGAATATTAGCACAAGCATGATTAATTAGACCTTAACCAGTGGGTTACTCTTCTCTACTGGGAAATTATAATATACAAAACATGTATTTTTTCCATAAAAGATGACTGTCTTGAACCACTGCATGATGATGTGGAAAAAAAAAATCAAAACTTCAGCACTAGGCAGTGGTTTTAGTTCAAATTTCCAAACTTAATCTATGGGTGCTTTGGGGCATGCAGCTTGAGTTTTGATTCTTGGTTTCTACTCTTGACTTAGTGTGATATCACTCCATAGATAACACTAACATGGTTCTTTCTCCGGTAAGCCTTTGTAATTACAGGATGATAGGTTTGTAAAGATTAATCACAGCCATAGCTGACCTGTTGGGCTGAATAAAAATGTGTGGAAGCCAGGATTCCTTATGCTGAAATTTACTTGCAACATTGGGATAGATTTGATCCTCAGATCACTTATCAAAAGAAGAAGAGGTGGTAGCTGGACAGGATATGCAGAATCCAAGGGAGTTTGATAGGATGGTTGATATTTTTACATAGGAACTGGAATGCGAATTGATGAGATGGAAATTGATAAAATGAAAGGAAAATGAATGATAATGACTTAGGGTCTTTGAATTAAGGTAAAAATTTATGTCTGTGGCATAGGGAGGTGATACCTTAAGATATTTCAATGATTTCAACACTTCATGAAAAATAGTATTCAAAAGACAATATCATAGCATCTTAGTTAACATTTAGTACAACATTTATTGAAATATTATCTTTAATGTGAGAAGGATTGTGAAGAAACAATCAACTAAAATATGATATTAATTAGCTTATCTAATCTAATACTTTTTATGTAATTGAAGAGATGCAAATACTTGGTAAATGTTGAGAACTAGAAGAAATTAACATGTATATGTGCCTTTCTGTCAATGGGTAAAAGGTGCTGTCACTGAATGGTGTGATGTATCTAGAACTTTTTTTCTGAAGAGAGGGTACAGGAAGGTTTGAAGTGACAAGCAACTAGGATTATGTCCAGAATGTGGTGTCGGTCTCCAACCTTGTGAGCCAGTGTCCATTTCCATGAAGGGTGCTCTAAGGGATGTGATTAAAGGCAGAATTAACAGCAAAATTTACTGAAACTCTACTGCTTCCCCACTGCTACCAACAGAGTAGTGTGTGAAAAGGGAAAACTAAGCTCTTGGCAAGATTTTATATCGTGGGTCTACTTACACAGAATGATCAGCCCGGACTAATTTTCTGAAATCGACGAATGCCTCACAGTGAGTTATCAATATACAATAATTGTCTAACTGCCCTATTAAACTCACTACTCTGAGATCTAACATAGAAGGGAATATGTTATTAGAATTGTGATTATTACCATCAGAGTTAAGAGTTGTATCACATAATCTAACAAATACCAGGGTATCTGAGACTCAACCTTTGGCCCCAATCTCCTTTCTAGGTGGGGATCCCTATGTCTGCTGTGTAGCACAATTTTACA